GCGGCCCGCCTGCCAGTGGCGGCGGCGGGGCGGCTCTCCGCGGAGCGGAGCGGAGGCCTGGCGGTGGCGGGGAGAGCACCCGCTCTCCCGCCGCGCTGCGCCGGCCGCCACCGATGCGCTGCCCCGCCGCCGCGCCATGACCCTTAGCTCGGAGATGTCCGAGGCGTCGACGCTGGCTGAGGAGACCGACATCGATGTGGTGGGCGAGGAGGACGATGAGGAGGACGACGAGGAGGCACAGACCCGCCGCCGCCGCCGCTCCTACGCCGAGGACGAGGAGGAGGACGAGGACGACGACGAGGAAGAGGACGAGGAGGATGTGGGCGATCTCCACGCCGCCGCCCTGCTGCCGCGGTCGCCTGTGCGAGGCGGAGGCGTAGGTGGCGGCGGCGGCGGGACGGGCGGCGGGGACGCTGCCGGTGGCTCTCGGCCCCCCTCGCGGGGTGGCCCGCAGAAGGCGACGGCGGGCGGCGGTGGGGCGGGCAGTGGTGGCGGCGGCGGCGGCGGCGGCGGGGCGGGCAACGGCGGCGGCAAGAACAGCCTGGTGAAGCCGCCCTACTCCTACATCGCTCTCATCACCATGGCCATCCTGCAGAGCCCCAAGAAGAGGCTGACGCTGAGTGAGATCTGCGAGTTCATCAGCGGGCGCTTTCCCTACTACCGGGAGAAGTTCCCCGCGTGGCAGAACAGTATCCGCCACAACCTCTCCCTCAACGACTGCTTCGTCAAGATCCCCCGGGAGCCCGGCAATCCTGGCAAGGGCAACTACTGGACGCTGGACCCCGAATCCGCCGACATGTTCGACAACGGGAGCTTCCTGCGCCGCCGAAAGCGCTTCAAGCGGCAACAGCTCCCGGCGCCCGAGCTTCTGTTGCGCGCCGTGGACCCCGCCGCCTTCCTCCCGCAGCCTCCGCCGCAGCCTCCGCAGCAGCCGCCTTGTGCCTACGGACCCTACGGCTGCGGCTACGGTCTTCAGCTCCAGCCTTACCACCCCCACTCCGCCCTTTTCGCCTTCCACCACCCCTCTCCTCCGCCCCGCCAGCCCCCTGCCGCCCCCGGCAGCGCCCCCGGCGCGGCGCTGCCCCCCGCCGCCGCCGCGCCGCCGGGCCCCTTGCTGCCGGCGGCCGAGCTGGCACGGACGCCCTTCGGCTACGCGCACCCGCTGGGCCCGGCGCTGGCGGCCTCGCTGCACTCCGCCAAGCCCGGCAGCGGCGCGGCGCTGTCCCGCTCGCCCTTCTCCATCGAGAGCATCATCGGGGGAAGCCCCGGCCCCGGAGCGGGCAGCAGCTGCGCCTCGCAGTCGACCGCTGCACCGGGGCTGGCCCGCTCGCTGGGGAGCGCCGGGAGCGGCCTGCCCCCCGCCGCCACCCTGCCTGCCACCCCCGGCTTCGCGGCACGGATCTCTAACTGTTAAGTGTTTGGGAGTCTTTCCGAAGGTAGGATCTGGGGTATCTCCTTTCTCCGCCGCTCGGACGCCCGGCGGACGCTGCCCGCAGGGGCTGCCTGTCTTTGCGTGGGGATAATTGTGACGGGGCTCGGGGGCCGTACGCCGCGAGCGACGGACCTCCCGTGACCTTCACTAGTGCAAAGCCAGGTGTAGATTTAGATATTGCACGAGCAGGCGGTCACTACATCGGAAAGTTACTCGCTACTCCTTAAAAAGAAACAAACATGGTGATAAATAATGTCTCTAAACCGTTAAAGTTCAGAGATTCTCAGGTCTAGGAGCTTGAAAACAATAATGTACAGGAGAAAAAAAAAGGCTGGAGGGAGGACAGCAGAGCAATACTTTTTCATTTAGTACACTTGTCTCATGTACTTTTATAAAAGAAAAGATTAACGTGTTTACACAGAAGAAAGTCAAGATTATCATTTCTTATTTTAACCTGTGTTTTGTATTATAATAGACTTACGGAGTTTTTTATTTTGTACTTTATGCGTATTCTTTACAAGGAATATTGTTAAAATTACTGGCAAGTATTATTGTACCATTTTAATGTAAAATTTTTACACATTTTCAAAAATAAAATTTTTAATTTTCAAAAAAAAAAAAAACAACAAAAAAAAAATCAAAACCAAACCCAAAGACCAAAGGAGCTCAGCCAAACAATTGGCTTTGGATCCTTCCCTCCTTAGCACTTCTCCTTTCTTTGGGACACTGATATTTTTTTCTTTGGGATTAATAGCAGAATAGTCAAGAAATATTCTATAGGTGGAAAATTATTATGCGCAGATTTGACCGCAAAGAAGAAAATAAAAATACGATCTTTGCAGTCAATGCATTGTTAACCCTAACAGATAAAGAAAGACAAAAAAAACCCCAAACATGCCAAACAATAAAAAAACAAACCTCCCCCCCCCCCCCCCCAGAACACCAAGAAAAAAAACTACCAACAAAACAAAACAAAAACACTCTTCAAAAAACAGCAGGAACGAAAGAGGGGATAAATAGAAATAGGTCTCTCTGGAGGGAGTAAAGTCCAGTTCTGTAAGGCACCAATCAGGGGATTGATTAAAAAGCCGGTTTAAAACTATTTTTATACTTTTGGGTGTGTTTTAAATCACAACTGCATCAATTTGGTTTCCAAGAGGCCCAAAGGAAAATTCTACTAATAAAGGGCATGCATTGAACTTAAGAGAGATTTGTTCTAGACACTTATGGTTCTTTGACGATAATAGTGGCATGTGTTTCTACTTTTCAATACATAAAATATAAAATGCGCTTTGTAATATCCTCGTGTGACGAGTTGATGAAGTGTATAAGCTGTCGAAGTAAGGATATTTAAATGTAGAAAACAAACCATGAGTGCCGCTTTTCTGATTCCAAACGTCGTTTTTAACAGCACAAGGTCGATTGATATCTATCTGATAGACTTTAAAAAATTTTAACCAAAAATCCGGCCTCGAATATTCAAAGCTTAGACATGGAAAAGAGAATCGCACGTTTTAAGAGTGGGCATGTGAATGCTTGCTGTGCTAAGAACACACGTTTTTCAAACCAGGGAGGCTTTTCAACTACGACTGTATTTATAACAATTTAGGAGACTCGGGGATCAATTATGTACATTTTCATAATAAAAAGAAATTTTAAAAGGGAGGGATGTTTCTTAGTGCTCTTTGGAGTGAGGGGGGCTTTTACATATAGAAGTACTTTGTCACCTTGGTTTTAAATATTCTCGTAGATAGAAAAGTGGTGCTTCTCCGTTTTGTTTGTAGCAATGCTGTGTTAAAATAGTGTATTTCGAAAGCAGAAAGACTGGGCATAAGGTCTCTGCTGGTCTCCATTTGCAGTCTGGAGCTGGGAGACCTCTTTGGGTGTCCCGGGTTCCTTAGCAGAAAAAGAAGTAAAGTCCTTTCTAATTTCTAAAACGGGAAAATGCCCTAGAGGCACCGTGTACGTATCCTCCGGGGAGAGCACGTCTTTTTCACGAGAGACCGATTAATTCACTAACCCCGGGACTGGCCGGGGGATGCGCCGGGCCGACGGGCCGGTGCAGCGCGGAGTACCGAGCTAAGCAGAGGTCCACCTCGAAAAGGCAGTTTTGCAGGGGAGAAGGCAGCTGTGGCCGTGTGGCGGTGCGAGACTCCCTGAGGAGGGATGCTGCTGGCCCTCAGACTGGGGTCTATCTGCTCGATTCCTTGCTATCTTCACGAGCAGTTAGTTACATGTGAAGGGTAGATTCCGGCGACCCACCCTGTGTTTGTTTCTCTTGGCTTCTCCGCAGTAGACCCTGGGGACCCCGGCGACCTCCCCCAGGCAGAGCCCAGCCTGGCCCATGCCGGTGGACAGTGGGGTCCGAGTGTGCACACCGCCCGTCCTTCAGGTCTCCTCGGAGGTATATGGCAAGCAAACTGCTTGGCCACTTGCTCCTTTCGCGCTTTTTGCCTGTTGCCTGCATCTCGTGCGGACCAGACCTTCCCTTGGGAATTGGTAGGGAAGCTGACAGGAGCAGATTGCAGTAGGTGGTATAGATTTCTTTTTTTTTTTCTGTAAAAAAAAACGGGGGCGAGGGGGAGGTCTGGGGTGCTGGTGAAGGACCCTTTTGCCTGCTCTCCTGGAGTTGGCGGGGAAGCCACCTAGCCTCGGTCCCGGTCCCCAGGGTCCCTGTTTCCCCCTCTGCTGTCCCGGAGCAGGTGCCGCCAGAAAAGCCCCGGCCCCACAGCCCTTTGATGAGCTCGCAGCGCCGTCGGTCCGCAGCGCCCCTTTCTCATGCTAATGGCCCGCCGTGCTCTCTGCGGCTTTCAAGACTAACAGAGAGGCTGACAGTGTCCTCGCAAGGACAGAGCCCGGACGATCAATTCCTCCAAAACAGTCTGGGCCCTAATAAACAATCTGGTGGGACATGCAGTATAGCATCGCCTCCTTCTCCTCCCAAAGTGTGGATCCATTAACCCGTCTCCTTGCTCATCATATCCCCGTAGGGCTAAGAGACGAATTACTGGATCTGAATTGGAAGGGAATTGCTCTATGAGGGGGCTAATGTTTCAATCAGTTCATCCTGAAGGACCACACAAAAAGAAACTTTTTAGTTTGTGGTGCTATTATGCGGAGTTTTAATCTAGGCATAGATTTAACCAAATGTTATCTATTGGGAATTTAATGAAGCCCTTATGTATTCAATCGTCTTTTATGCCACACACAGTGTCTCTATCCAGAAACGTTTCCTTCCACGTAGTTCTTTGTTTCTGGTGGGTGATTTATATATTTTTAATTAGGTTTTTAAAAAATTATTTATTTTCAAGCATCTTGTATAACGTTTCTTTTAAGCAGGACTGTGTTAGGTCCCTTCCCACATCCCCTATAAAAGAGGTTTCCTCTTCCCTCCCTGGTTTTGAAGATGATTAGTTTGCACGTCCACACACTGCTCCCTTCCCACTGGAGCGCTCCCACTGCCTTGTGCAGAGGTCTTGGTCATTGTGCCTGCTCTTTCGACACCTCCGTGGGCTGCGATGGACAGGGTAGCCCGGGGGTCCGGCCGAGCCCCGTGACTCCCGTGCACAGCTCCCCGGCCTCGAAGCTGCTCTCAACACAAACCTTCCCCACCCGCACCTCCTTCGGACCACACCTTCGGTCTGGTTTGTATTTTAGGTGCCGTAAGAAGCACTCCTGGGGTCACCGGGGAGCACATCCCCTGCTTGCAGGCTGGTTTCAAATACCCAGGCCCCATCACCAAGTCTGGAAAATGAAAGAGGGGGGCGAGGCCCTCACCTGCTCTCAGCTGCTCCCTTTCTTGCAGCGCTGGCGGCGCGGGCAGAGCACACGATCACCCCCGTAGAGATTGAGGCCTGTTTGAGGGATCTGTGGGAAAGTGGATCTGGTTTGACTGTCCCTTGGCACAGCCTGGAGACTCTACGCCGTATGTAATACTTTCCCTCAGTACTTACAGTAAGTACTGCAGTAGTTCTGATAATATTGTATTTGACAGAAATAATGGAAATTATGATTGTGGCCAAACCGTCTCTGCTCTGCAACTTGATAACCAATGCAGATCCATTTTTCAGCTTGTTCACTGTGTCTCCCCCACCTGCAGTGGTATTTCCCCTGCTTCCCTCGGCGATGGGCTGCACGCACCATCAGAACCCAAGCAGCGGCGGGGACCGGCTGCCCCGTGCCCACAGCTGGGTGCATCCCGATCAGGTAGGTGTCTGCCATTCCTCACCCTCAACCTCCAGTAGCCTGCTGCAGGTGACTGCAGGGCCTCTCCACCCTTCTCCAAAAGTCCTTTCTCCTCTGCAACCCTCACCATGAGAGTCACGTCGGGTAGCGGCCGTTGAGGTCTCTGTTCGCTGCCCCTTCCTGCGCTGCAAAGCACGACCCAGGAGACATTCACGCAGAAGTATGTGTACGTGTGTGCAGGAGAATGGCACTTCAGAAGGTAACAAGCTGCTGCCGGATCCACACTGCGGCGACAACTGTGCTCAGTGCCTCATTGCACAGATGGTGCCCGCCGATTTTGGGGAAAGACGGAAAAATTAACACGAGTTCCAAGTCGGTAAGCATCTTGCTCATGTTTTTAACTTGCGGAAGAACTCTGTTCCCCGCCGCCAGTCTCCGCCTGGAGGTGTACTGCGGGAAGCCGGCCCTGGAAACACGCCGGCCCCTTCCCAGCTGCCTGTCTCGGCTCACCGCTCAGTTACCAGCACGACTGAAAACAACAAGGGCAAAGGCTGCGGGATTGGGAAGGCACGCACGGGGAGCCCCTCGGCCAAGCTCGCGACCAGCCCGGCTGATGCAGTGCGGGTGGCACCGAGGGCTGTGCGCGGCCGCGCAGCGGGGCAAAGCCTCCGCGGCTTCAGAGGTGCTCCGCCGAGCCCGGTCGTAGGAGCGGAAAGGCACCCGGCAGCGTGTCTGCGGGAATCACCGCGGGAAGCCCACGGAAGATGCATAGCATACGAAGATGTGCCCTTAGTGCA